AGTCGTTGCGTTTTTAGCGTGTGTTGTTATCATCGCTTGGGACTCAATTTTTGCGCGTGCGCAGGTGACGACATTCCCGCTTTAAACATTACCGTTCTATCTCAAATCTACCAGTTACTTCCAAGATCCTGGAGAAAGTCGTAGCGCTACAACTGAATTCATATCTTTCTGAACATTCATTATTTGAATCTTTGCAATCTGCATATAAGAGTTTTCATAGCACCGAAACAGCACTTCTAAAGGTCCATAATGACATTTGCATGTCGCTTCTTATCTTTCTGGATACAGCCTTCGATACAATTGACCATGATATACTTCCGACAAGACTGTACAACCTTGGCATTACTGATACTTCACAGGTTCACTTCTTATCTGAAAGATCGTCATCAGCGTGTTTCCATCAAGGATAGTCTCTTCGTTTATATATCACCACTAGTGTTACTTTCCATCAGTATGCTGATGACAACCAACTCTACCTCGCCTACTCATATGATACAGTCAGCATAATTGAAAGTACAGCTCGTGACATTAAATCATGTATCATGATTTATATTTCGGCTTAATAGTGGTTGCCATGACATCTACTGATAAAGGTTAAATTACTGATAAAGGTTAAATGATGAGGCCAGATGACGGAACTGGTCGAGACCAGACGACACATTCTCATGAGTTAGCGATTTCAAGCTTATGCGGTGCTTTGGTCGTAGACCAAAACTAATGTTTGCGATTTCAAGCTTATGCGATGTCTTGGTCGTAGTCCAGAACGAATGATGTATATTGATGTCAACTGTGGAATGTTATTGCAAGACCATTAGTACCCATAAATATAAACTGACGTTGACGATACGATAGTGGTTTTCCTAATATAGTGACGATTAATCAATTGTATTATGTGTAAAACTTTCGTGTGATTGGCTGTTTGTTTAGAGGCAACGCCTCAAAGTCTCTTATGCTATATTGTAATTGGCTAATGGTTGACAAGTAATAAAAGTGATTTGAAGCTGTCTCGAGAAAAAGCACGAGGCAGTAGAGAATCGAATGCGACACGAATCAAGCTTGTGCGTGTGTTTTTTGTGAGTCTAACGTGGGGAACAATCGAATCCCGGTTACCTAAGTGAAAGGTTTCGAAACATCAAAAATACTTATCACACATGGATGTCATGCAACAAATTAAAGTTGAATGATGATAAAACCGAGGCTCTTCTAATCAGAACACCGTTTAACCACATTCATTGTCCAATTGGTTCCAGCGTTATCCAACTCACTGAGATGGCAAGACACATCGGAGTCATCATCACAGCTTCAATAAGCACATGTCTGCAACAACAGTCTATATATTTTCACCTACGTAAAATTGGTAACATACGACGCTATCTCTCCAAAAATACATACAATTATTCATGCATTAATATTTTCAAAACCACCAGAGAACACTTCAAAGTCACTACAACATGCCCAGAACACAGCAGCAAGAATTGTGACACACACAAAGGAATGTGAACATATTACACCTATTCTACAAGATTTGCATTGGCTATCGGTGAAACTCAGAATTGAATACAAGATGCTACTAAACACCTACAAAGCACTGAATGACATGTCACATTGTTATATATCAGACGTAATTCACTTTATATCTTCACCTCGCAAACTTCGTTCAACAAATAAGGAACCCTTACATGAACCAAGATATAGATCAGAATCATTCGGCAAATGTTCTTTCTCATGTGCTGCACCACGGCTTTGGAACACATTGCCACTTGAACTACGCAAGTCACCAACATTGAACAGTTTCAAGACTCAACTTAATATAAGACTTTAACAACTAATCATCTCTATGTACAGCGCCATTGAACATTACCTTGTTTTGGATACTTTTGATACTCTGGGGTCTTTTTCCTCCAGACAAACATACCTACGATACCCAACTGCCAAACAAAGCCTTCCACCCACCCACATACCAGACAGACCGAGTAAGCAAAAGAAATTATCAGGCACAAGGTAAAAACCATAGTAAATAATATAATTGCATATGTTGAAGGTGATACCGAGGAAGAAGCTACCATTGATAATGGCCGCCGATTATTCAGGTCATCGATGCAGAAAGCAAAATCCAAACTTGAACAAGTTGCAATTATTGCACACCTACAAGTGAAGGGTTGAAGATATGCCCTGCAACAGTGAGAGAATTATTGGAATTGACAAACCAAACAGGCATTGGATTATTGGTAGCATGACTATAGTAATTTTATCATTGCTAAGAACAAAAACAAATCAAAAAAAGCTTACCTGCTTCATAATTTAATATGTACAATAAATGTAACCCTTGTTTTACATGCACCTCAAACATAGTGGTCAAATGACAAGCAATCGACAAGCACACCAGTGTCACAAAACAAATACTAGTAATACATAATGACAAGTGACCTGTTGGACCTTTATATGGTTGCAAACAGCAGAAAAAGAAACCCCCAAAAAGACAATACTTCAGATGGGAATCCACTACCTTCGTTTTCACACTGAAACTATTTTCAGCAAAAAATAGTTGTGTAAACTCGTAACATATAGATGTTGCCTTTAGCAATAAATAAAAAAACCCAAAATGAATATAGTTGCGATGAAAATAATACTACTCATATTTAAACTGCCTCCAATATGTAGTTGAATGTGACATTTACAGTATCTTGCTGGCACTCGTCACCTCCAGCAACATATATGGTACCCCACTGGCGGTGGACGGACGTTTCGAAATGTACATGAATAATGCGATCGAAATTTAACATTATGTTATTGTATGGTTTATATTACATATTCACTCCATTTTGAATAGAATGATTCACCATTGGAACATGGATTTTCTCGATTTTCGATAGACACCTGACTACTACCTTTTTTCAATGATTTAAATGCGGCCATATTTATATTTGCGTTATTATTACGAATGCAACGCATTATCAAGTCAGTCAGTTGTTATTATAACATATTAATAGTCTACAGTGGTTTACAGAAATATTTAATACATAAGTCTATTACGTGATATCGGCGTACAGTTGTTTACAGAAATATTTAATACATGGTTTATTACGTGATATCTGCATTCTGTTGTTTATAGAAATATGTTATGCATAGTCTATTACGTGATATCGGTATTCGGTTGTTTACAGAAATATTTAATACATAGTCTGTTACGTGATATCGGCATTCTGTTGTTTACAGAAATATGTTATGCATAGTCTATTACGTGATATCGGTATTCGGTTGTTTACAGAAATATGTTATGCATAGTCTATTACGTGATATCGGTATTCGGTTGTTTACAGAAATATTTAATACATAGTCTATTACGTGATATCGGTATTCTGTTGTTTACAGAAATATGTTATGCATAGTCTATTACGTGATATCGGTATTCGGTTGTTTACAGACATATTTAATACATAGTCTATTACGTGATATCGGCGTTCAGTTGTTTACAGAAATATATAACACATTGTCTGTTACGTGATATCGGCATTCTGTTGTTTACAGAAATATGTTATGCATAGTCTATTACGTGATATCGGTATTCGGTTGTTTACAGAAATATTTAATACATAGTCTATTACGTGATATCGGCATACAGTTGTTTACAGAAATATTTAATACAAAGTCTATTACGTGATATCGGTATTCGGTTGTTTACAGAAATATGTTATGCATAGTCTATTACGTGATATCGGTATTCGGTTGTTTACAGAAATATTTAATACATAGTCTATTACGTGATATCGGTATTCTGTTGTTTACAGAAATATGTTATGCATAGTCCATTACGTGATATCGGTATTCGGTCGTTTACAGAAATATTTAATACATAGTCTATTACGTGATATCGGCGTTCAGTTGTTTACAGAAATATATAACACATTGTCTGTTACGTGATATCGGCATTCTGTTGTTTACAGAAATATGTTATGCATAGTCTATTACGTGATATCGGTATTCGGTTGTTTACAGAAATATTTAATACATAGTCTATTTCATGATGTCGGCATACAGTTGTTTACAGAAATATTTAATACATAGTCATTCTGTGGCAGAGATCATCTCACCATCAAACTCTACTCCATAGATGTTTAAAAATCACTTTGTTGAGGATTGTTTTTTATGTACTGCTAAACAATTGAAGGTGCTGTACAATTATTTCATTGAATTCTATATACAGTTCCACATGATTTGATTTCAGCATTCTTATTTTTACAGCTGCCGTACATCAGAATGTTCTCAAGTTCAATCAAGTTGTTTGAGTTCTAGTTCTTCCATCATGTCAGGATCATTCTGCCAATCATAACCCTTTCTTGTGACATCATGGAGTGAGCGTTTTTCATTCATCTGCATGAAGCTTCTTTCTCTCAATGGCACTACTTGTTGAGTAATGGCAAAAGCTTCATGTTTATATTTGTTATTGCTCTTCTATTTTCTTAATTTTATTTGAATAAAAGTCTGTTGCAATAGCTATTTGATTTGCTCACTTCTATTGTAATCCTGTATACATTATGTGCCAAAAGATTGGTACCCTAATTTTATGAGCAAGCTTGTTCTGCAGTCACTTTTTGAGGAAATGTTTCGAGAAAATTGTCTCAAATTTTACCATTAATGACTAAAACACAAAATTATATATTCAAAAATTTGTTTAAAGTGGTATTCGTAAGGAATAGGATCTAAGGTACTTGCAGCACTATGGTATTATTTTACAATGAACCACACTCGCACATGATGGAATTTATGAAAAAAGGTATTTTTTTTTCTTGGGTTGTTTTTGCATGTTTTACATGTATTTTACGTTTTTGAATTTAATCAAATTTTCCAAACATCAATTGCATTATGTGATGTGGTGTCATTGGTCAGATAAATCTTTAATTGACACACACAGACCTATATCAGCTATCACCACATATTGTTTTATAAATCCTTGACGTAAACGTAAATAATCCACACAGAGATTACCCACAATTCAATTTCTATATATATACATTTGTACAGGTTAAAAATAACCTCATAACATAACACGAAACATTCAGTTTTATTTGACTAAAAATCCAATGAGATAACCTTTCTTTGCTAGTAATGTTCTTGTTATCAGCTTTTCATGTAAAAACTCCTTTCCAATATCACTGTCAATCACAAACTGTGCAGCTTCGTCTTTGTCTACGGCTACCTTATATGGTAATGACACATGACCTTTAAATTCATTGTTTATTTTCACTGTCATAGTAACTAGGTCATCAGGTTTGGGTGTTTCATCTTCCAACTTCTCCAATTCTGGCCAGGTTTGCTCTAATACATTCTTGGTCTGGGAAGAATGACAGTAAAGGTAATATAAGTAAACAGTGCAGTCCCATTAAAAAGTTGGAATACAAACGGGAAAACATGTTTTGTGAATATCAGATTGGCATCATCCACAAAGGACAAACAAATCATAAACTACGAAGAGACTGACAAGTTTTCAGCTTATTGCTCAAAATGTTCAAAAAACTTACCCTGTCGTAATGCTGGCATTGATACTGCTCTACACTGGTAATTCCTTCCCATAATTCCAAAGCAATATGTGGTGCCATGGGTGCTAACATTATGCACATATCACACAGAGTTTTCTCAAATTCTTTACTATTTTGTACAATACTATCAGGCACTTTCCTTAATATATTAGTGAGTTTAATGAGTCTAGAGATCGATACACTAAACATATACTCATCCTTGCACATTCTTGTCACCTGTATGATAAGAACAAATATGACATAAAATGTAAACACACAAACATTATAGACATACATGCATCAAGTGGGCTAAAGTGAAATGTGCATATGTGCAATATGTTTGAAAATGTTTGGTCAGAGAATGTCCAAGATATAGTTCTGGAATTTTTTAAAACAAAATGGCCACCAAGCAGCCATTTTGAATGCAGCCACCAGGCAGCCATTTTGAATGCAGCCACCAGTCGGCCATTTTGAATGCGGCCACCAGGCAGCCACTTTGAATGCAGCCACCAGGCAGCCATTTTGAATGCAGCCACCAGGCAGCCATTTTGAATGCGGCCACCAGTCGACCATTTTGAATGTGGCCACCAGTCGGCCATTTTGAATCCGATCTGATAAACAAAATAATGTAAATCAAAGTCCCATAATGTCTGATGTTTGTTCCATGTTTGAACAAAAAGCGTTCATACATGACTGAGAATGTTAGCAAAACTAAATGGCTTCTCAGATAGTATTCCTGATACAATCAAGTATGCAAATTAGGTTGTTAAATGTGTTCACTCATTGTCACTGAGTGTTCTGAACCACAGACCAATCATAACAAATGAATACAGCATTGTTTTTCCAAACTGACTGAAAATATTAATATTCATTCCATCAAATAATAGACAACTATATTTAATTGTAACAACTCCTGTACTAGCACTTACAGATGATCATAGAATTCATTATGTAAATGGTTGCATCTCACCTCTTCAATTGCTACGTGTCTCTCTTTACGGAGTCTCATCTCATCTTTGTTGTGGTTATTGGTTGGTTTCAGTGGCGATTCATGTTTGACTTGAAGAAAGTGACTCACTAAGTCCCACAGTTTATTCTTCCAACGTACAATGCCTACAATAGCTAATTAGAACATGCTTGCAATCAGATTTTTAGTGACATACAATAGAAGCAGCTTTTTCTTCTGCATTTAGGGGAGATGTGACACAGCTGTGCGACCATCTTCTTATAATAATGATAAGCATTATCCTGGTGTTAAGCAGATGGTTGAACACAAGTATCTGTGGAGCTTGACCAAAATTGCATCTCTCAGTAACTGCATCTCAGCCAGAGGACCAAAATTGCATCTGTCAGTGACTGCATTTCAGCCAAAGCCTTTTTGCCTCACTTAATTGAGTAGCATATACTTCGGGAAAAAAAGACGATTTGAACTTGACTGATAATAGATGCAGCATAATAACCACTGCACTATAAGTGCTTTAGCTATGAAAATGGTGGTTGGATCATACTGGTATGTCTTTACAAAATCTCACCTTCAGTATTCCACAACATATTATGTTCTGGTGGTATTCCACTCAACATAAATAGTCTAACAGTATCTATTCCATATTGATTGATGATGTCTTCAGGATCCACACCATTATGTTTAGACTTGCTCATCTTCTCCCACTTAGTCTCAACTGAAAGCCCAGTATCTTTCTGTACTGCTGTGTTGCCTAGGAACACAATTATGTCATAATTTGAGTATTTTATGACTGAAGCATCTGTGAGTTATACCTCAATTTTATCAACGATGTATTTCTGATACGCCTGGTGTAACTATTCAGTACAGCAAATAACAGATAAATCTAGAGAGAATTGAGACAAACATAACATACCTGTGAATTGAACCTGATCTTTGCTCAGATACTGTCCAGTACTTTCTACTTTGTATGTTTGTCCCATAACTAAACCTTGTACAAGTAATCTCTTGAAAGGCTCTCTGTCTCGTGTAAGTCCTTTATGATGGAGGAAGTGAGCGATGAATCTAGCGTACAACAGGTGCATTATTGCTGAAAACACAAATACAATACCTTAAACTAGTGGCAATCGCTCTTACCCCCTCCCTCCACTTTGCACGATTTAAAGCATCCCTCATCCTCATCCCAACCTTCCCACTCTCCTCCTCCACTTGCATCTTCCACGTCTTCTTTGGCCTTTCCCTTTTCCTTGGACCACTCACCTCTAAATCAAGGGCCCTT